TGTGTATATATTCTCCGTGTTTTATTTTCCAGGGTCCTGTTATTTCTTTTTCTTAAGAAAACGGCCTGGTCTGAATCTGTAACTGTACATTTACTTTGAAATGCTCAAATTTTCAAACTGAATTTGTGTAAAGATTAGGAGGACATTATTGGCAATTTTCATTCTAATCTGTTTCTGCAGTAAGAACAAAGCTGAACTCAAAACTGGAATATTTGCGTTTCCCAGGTTTTTTTTCCCAGTTTAGCTTTGAATTTTGACTTGCTTTTTCAAGCAGGACAGTCACACTCCTCAAAAGTCTAAGACTCCCATGCTACTGGGAGGCACCAGGCAGGATTTAGGAGACAGGGCTCCTGGTGCTACAGTCAAAACATTCTTGTCCCTTCCCCTTAGTCTGACTCCGCACACTCCAGACTGTGGAATTTAACTCATTCTTCCAATTCTGCTGCGAGCTGAATTCACAGCAACTCCATGGCCAGATCATTTAGAGCTCTCGGAAGCAATCTGTCTGGCAGGTAACATTGACAAGGTGCATGTGGCACTAGATGATAAACTCTCGACACATTAAGTACTGTTCCTAGAAGTGATAAAAACAGCAACAGCTTTAAATGATGCTGTGATAATACAGGGAGATGCAATTTCTGAGCATGGATTTTTTTCTAGCAGTGATGGGACTACTCAACAGATAATGTGTCCAGTATCCCAGCAGAGGAAGAATGATATTCAGGAGGAGTTTTGTCCAGATGAAACCTTTGGGGATGGCACAACTTGCATGCAAAACATCAGCACCACGACCGGATGCACACGGCCAAGCCCCACTAGGTAAAAACATAGTTAGGGCTGTCAGTCCTCAAACTGCAAGTCAGGGCTGGCCCAGAGCAGGTTCTGCTTGAGAGGAGTCTCCACTACTTGGTGGAGACTGAGCTTTGGGAAAGCAGGGATAGACTTTTAGGATAAGTTAGCAAGGTCTCTTACCTTTGCCCACTGAGGGTGCTTCATGTATTGAAAGACTTGTAGCCTTCCCCTGCCTGCTATGTACTGAAGAAGAAAACGTCCAACTTCTACCTCTCTTTCTGAGGCAAATGATTTTTGAGATTAAAGACCAGCTCAGGTATGAGATATTTAATTTAGTTATTCAGCACAGTAAGCACAGTGTTTAATACAACTGATGCAGAGAGAAAATCAAGGAGACACTCCAGAGAAATTAAAGGAAAGGCTCATATTGACATGAAAGTTTCTAGCTGGAAGCAAGATAATTATTTGAGGAATACGTACATAAAGAGGGAGAGGAAGAGATTGAGAGATAAAGCAAATACATAGTCTTTCATCTAGACAGACCACAATGCTTCCTTGAAAAATCTAATAATCATGCAAACTGCTTTGAAACACAAATGGCCTAATCTATTGCAAATATTGTATATAGCAAGGCTGGAATCTAGCCACACTGCAGATGAGGGCAGTGTGATCATGAAGCTGCAGCCACATCACTTCTCTCAGAACAGCTGCCATCTCATATTCGCACTAGAGAGGAAACAAATCGAGCCTTAGTACTACACTTATTTTCAAAATATCCTCACTTTGATTCCACATGATAGAAGCCAAGCTGATTCTAAGATGACCGTGTGGCCTGATGCTTTCAGGACTTGTTTGGGACCAAATCTGAAAGACGAAGAGGGGACCCTCTGCCCACTCCTTCCTCAGCTTCCAGACAAGCAACTGCTACGCCAAGAAAAGTAAAGGACAGAGCAATTGAAATTAGCACATATACAAAATGCAGCAGATTCCTTGATTTTGGAGAAAAATAGGAAATTGTCCATTTACACTTAAAACATTCTGAGGCTTCGCTATGCAGCTAAATATGAAATCTCCACTAGAATATCTAAATCCTGACTTCTTACTTTGCTTACTAACATATATACGCAACTAGAACACACTTGAGTCACAATATTGTTACCAGTATCACTTTTACTGTTGAATGCAGGAGGGAAAGGAAGTAAGGCAGATCCACAGTTTTAATAACTACCTGCAAACTAGCATTTCATACTTAACACACTTCACAGGGAGAATTCTCAACAGCCCACTGGAAATAAAGAGCATCCAAACTCACACCTGAAGCACTGTATTTGGAGGTAGGTGGATAAAGTGTGTTGGTGGGGCGGGAAGGACACACCGCCTGAATTTGGGAGTAGTAGCAAAGATTGTGATTCATTTTCCATGTATATGACTCTGTGAATCATAGCAAACACAAAAAGCATTAAAACATGGGCATACCTGGTTTTGCTTTACTGTGCTGTAGTTTTTCTCTAAACTGAAAAACAGTATTTATGGTAAGCATGACCCATAAGCACGACCATTTAGACAGATGTCTGAACCTCCACGGATGATTTTTTTCTTCAGGAGAAACAAGAAAGGCCTGCAGCCTTAACAGCCTTTTCTGAATTTATGGTGGCAGATCTGTCCATCTGGATTAGTGTCATCTGCCCTTTTAGAAAAAGATCAGCGCCTCAAAGGCTTTCAAAGATAGATAAATTATCTATGTGAAAGAAACCTACTATGTTGACCTACTGAATATTTTCTACTAAGAAAAAGCCAAATTAAAATTTCCTCCTCCTCTTCCTCCAAAAAAAAAAAACCCACTTACATTTACCACTTCCAACAAAATTGTCCTCCCAAAATAAGAAAGCACTAAATACTTAGTACTTTCTAGATTGTCCCTACAAGATGTAAGGTCATTGTGTAGGAAGCTAACTTACAGGGAGCTGACAAGGCAAATACATTATTACAGCTGTGATACTTGGGCAGAACCACTGAAGCTGCCTTGAGCAGGACTTGGAGAACAGGATCTCAAATGAAGGGCAGTAGAGTGCAAACAGCAGTATGTCTCTATTGCAGAAAATCTGCAAAGTTGAAATAACACAGCAAACACGTCCAGAGGAAAAAGACAAGAACTCAATTGTCAAAAAACCTTCATCACTGCTTCATCACCTAAATGTGAATAACATAGCCAAGATTCTTTTCATATAAAGAGATCCTACCAATAGAAACATGCACTCACCATAGAGAGGATGTTAAGACCTAGCTCGTGACCTTCGGCTGGCAACGGAAGGCACCACGTGTGCAGCCAGGCACGTGCACATAACACTCTCATATAATTTTACATGCTATTTTTCCCTATGCAAATGCAATAACGTCAGTTCATTAACAGTAAGATGACATGAATAATTTTTTAAAAAGATGACGGAGTAAGAGTGTATAATGTAGATGATAGTCACTTTCTTTTCCTAGCCAAGAAACTTACTCAGTTATAAGTAACTCCAGACAAGGAATGCATATGGAAGTGCCTATACATCCTTGGCAATGCAGGGAAGACCCTTAGCTTCTGTCTAGAGGCCATACGAATACAAAATGCAAGAGAGCAGCACAAGCTCTTCCTGCCCCAGTTGATTGGTTACTTTGGGTTTCTAGAAATAAACAAAAGAATAAAGGATCTTATAACTTTTTTTTCCCCAAGGACTACAGAGAAAAAGGGAAAAAGAAAAAGTGAGAAAAAAATCCATTAATTACAGATTTTCATCAGCCCTGGATTAGAGGTTTGATTTTCTTTGAAGGTTCTAATTCACAGAAAGCAATATGTGCTAGAAATAAGAACAAAGAAAGAATTTAAAACTTGCTAAAATGACATTCCCATTTTCCCAGGTCCCCCTTCTCCCCAGCCACAAAACAGCCAGTGTTGTTATTTTAATAACTTAGCTCTTCACATACTGTCTTCCCTCTGGTACACAGTTAAAGAGAAGAGGGCCAATTAACCCAGTTCTTTCTACCTCCCATAGAAATAATGGGCTTACAAACTTGTGAATGGAAAACTGCAAGAATAGAAACAACAACCAGTGTTTTCACTTTTAACCCTCCTGATAAAAATTATGTTTCTACATTTTTTTCATTCATGACTTTGTAAAAAGCATTCTAACTCAGAACTATCAGAATGAGTTGGTTACACTACATAGGCTATTTTAACAGCAGCTATTTATATCTGAACATTCAGAATCTTCTGCTATGAAATGGCCTACAATAAGTGAGCAATCACTGCTCAAGCTGTACGTCTCTAAACAAGAGACTGGAGATGCCAAATATAACCGCATTTTATGCCTTCAGCAGCTGACACCTCAGAGAATTCATGGTATATACTGACAGTAAGCAGAGATTCTAGCTTTCGGATATATAAGTGAAGAGGTACGAGTACTGATTTGGCTTCATGTTAGTGTATCAGGATACATGGATCACAAGATTTTTTTTTTTAAGTGATTTACATTATCGGCTGACTATTTATATCAAGCAATACAGTCAAGAGCCCCCTGCCTTCTGTACTAAAAGCTGCTGCATTTGTTCTCTTGGGAAATTGAGGTAAGAATGTTGGTAGCTGAGAAGTGCTGCACTACTCAGCCAAAAAGAGAAAGTAAGAGAGTAGCTGAAAGCCAGAAGATTAAATGCAAATTTCACCAATAACCTTAAACATGCAGGTAGAAGGCGCATATAAACAGTGTATAAGGAGTTCTCGTGGAAGTAGTTACAGTCACATTTGATGTTTAATGATTAAATTGAAGATTATTATTGCTGTCTTTGTAATACTTGCATAATTATTCACAATTTGGTGGAGACAGCAGCACTCGCACAAGAGTTCAACTGGTGGGGGGAAGGGAGAAAGGGCAGTGAATCAGCTACCACTCCTGGTAGTCATTCAGGCAAAACCTGGTAGGAAGAATTCATGACCTCAGTTTAACCACTGTTCTGCCTTTCCTAACCGTCTGAGCAGTAACTTACATGTGGAAATGCACCCAGTGATCTAAAGGCAATTCAACAGCCATTGCACTTTCCAGATTTCTATAAAACTCTAACTGACTTGTAGCATAAGTCTGCAGGAAGTGCTGCATTTTCACGTGCATGCTTTTTATATTTAAAATCACCAGAGTACACGGCGTATAGCACTATAAGGAAACATATCTTACCACCGCAGCTGGAACTTGATGCATTTTTGCAGCAGGGGTTCCTGGGCGTGGATAAAATTGATTAATGAATAAGCTGGGAAACCTGTACTGGTCTACAAGCTTCATCGTTTCTTGAAAATCTTCATCCGTCTCCCCGGGAAAACCACAGATGATGTCTGTAGCAATGGTTATTCCAGGCACTCTGTAAGGCAAGCAGAAGGGAATACTGAACTTAGTACGTAAAAAAGTCTTGCTCCTTTAAGAGTTAGGGTACACAGACATATAATCCTTCAACTTTATCCACAGAAATTGAGATCTACAGTAAACTGGGGAAAAACAAAAGAGAGATTTTAACATTATTATTTGGAAATGCACTTGGTATTCAGCTGAGAGCACAAGGAATAGAAAAAAGACACAGTGCACTAAATATTGATTTTGACTTTTAACAGGAGGAGGAAAATGTTCTGAACCAACTCTTCCTTCATTTAAAGGTTATCAGCAGAACCAGTGAATTTCTTGAATTCTGATTAGGTAATCTACACAGTTTATAAGTTCTGATACTTAACCACTGGAGTTCGTAAAATGTTTGATGTATTATATCACTTCTATCAAAGTAGAATGGGATATCTAAAACAGGAGACTGATGCCCCATGGAACCTAGCAATCTCAGACAAAAAATTGGTTTTGGAGCCAAGAAAGCAACTTTTAGTCACAATTTAATTTCTAACTCAGCACTCCATAAAATTGGATTATTCCTTGCTTTAAAATAGTAATTGAAAAAATCCTTAAACCTTATGTTTAGAAATGCATAGGCACCTTTTTATTTAGCAAGGTCGGCATTTCCCAGCTGTTCCCTTTGGACTGAATATGCAGAACTCTTAAGCACCAGAAAGATGGGACCTTCACCCAGGAGATTGCTGCCTGGCATTTACAGAGCTCTGGATGATCCCGGGAGGCATCAGTGCAGCCTTCCAGGTCTGCCCTGTGGATGGACAAATGTCTCCTGCGTGGAGGTGGGATTGCCTAGCTCAGAAGTGCTCCCTACTGACCCACATGCGACGGCTTCAGCAACGCGGAGCCGACACGACCCCCTTCCAAGCAAAATTACTCTGGAGTTGCTTCAAGTTGCCGGTGACAGCAACATCGCTGATCCCAGTTCTCTCAGGGATGAGCAGCACAAAGGGTCAGCATCCCAAGCAGTGGGGAAGCACACGGTGCTGGTTTTAATGACTGCATTAGGAGAGATAGTAGAGCTCATCCCCTCGTCAAAAAAAGAAAAAAAAAGCATAAAATAAAATTACTGTGGCTTTGATACAAAGACTATAGGGCTATAAAAATATTTTAAGATTATTTCTTTTTTGACTTGAAAGAAACTGAACTTTTGTTTAAATACCAGCAATGAGACTGTATTAAACCAAATCTCTTGGCCTTCTTTTCACATATACCTGTACATATAGCTAGCTGTACAGGAATTTATTAGACTCTGTATTGCTAGAATCTTCTCTCTGCTTTTCCTTAAGAAAAAAAATTACAAAAGAACCAACTAAATTCTCTCAATTTTTTTTCTGACTTCATGAATTCAGACTCTAACATTTGAGGGTGAAGTTAAAACATGTAATTTGAATGCCAAACTGAAAATGGCATAAAACCAGACATTTTCAAGAAGGAGTTGATACAAGAAGTATAAGTGGGAAAACACAAGCTTTACATTACACAGAACAGCAAAAGTCCCAAATACTGTTGGCTAAAAATCCTTAATTTCCATTTTTTAAAGCCTGAAAAGCTGTAAGATATAAATTTCTACTTGAAATCAAGTAACAATAAAATTTTTGGATTTAATGATGGAGAAGAACAGTGCATCCTGCAATATGACTTTGTTCACATTGCCAATATTCTTGTGCTGTAATAGTAAGCTTACAAAGGACAAAAAATATTACTTTATAAATCAGTATCACATAACATTGACTGCCGTTTCTCAGAACATTAACAGAACATTAAATAAGTCTGACAAAACTGCTATAACGCAGTTATTTTAGCCATTTTAATGGTGCTGTTGGCAATAGTCAAGGCATTTATTACCAACTGCAGTAGTAATACCACCCCTTATAAAGCTTTGGCTGTTTCTATAGCGACATGAATTATAAGGTCCAATCAAGCTAGATCTGCTCAAATACACTCTTTTTCTCCATAACACCAGTTGTCATTCAGTTACAAGGAAATTACATATTTTTAAAAATCATAAACTGTACAAATGTCTGAACTCCATTTGATGATAAAGTGTTAATTATCTTAGTAATTAGATTTCTTTCTAGACGGTATTATTACACACAAAGAAAAACTAAGCTATGGAGTGAGAATAAGGATACCAGTCTATTTAGAAACAGCAATTAATTACAAGTTCAATCCAGCCTGCCCAAAATATGACATTGCATTGTGAATTTTTCTATCACTGTGGATTATGTCATTAAAAAAGAGTGGTTGTAAAGGGGGGAAAAGCATATGAGACTTAACTCAGGATAAAAGTCAGTTAGTGAAAAAAAAGCTCTCAGTTTTCCTCAAAACATGCACAAGCAAAAATGAGTAGAATTAGTTCCACACATACACAACCATTTCTCAAAAAAAAAAAAAAAAAAAATTGAAAATTAAGGTAGTTGTGGCCATGACACTCTAAAATAAACCAGAACCAAGTTTTCTACAGTGTTGACTTAATGTCTAAAAAATGGTCCCAACTGAAAAATATGCTGCAAAATTACACAAGAACCGATTACTAGTGCATCAACCAATATTAAATTGCCTTTAAAAACAAAATGACAATTTGTCTGTTCTGAAGTAAACTAAGAATAAACATCCTGAACAACCCTGGTAAGCACTTGGTATGGTTCAGTACAGAAATGCACTTCCAGGAAGCTTCAAAAAACTCATCAGCAATAAATGTTTCCTAGGGTCAGCTGAGAAGCTCTAGAACACTTTGTTCGGTGACCCAAGAGCACACGGTGCTTCTTATGAAAGATTTATTTTTTAAATGATTTTTAAAAAGCAGAAAGTCATTTCAATCGCTGGATGCCTCATATGCCCTAATGGTGGGGGCAGGTACATTTCAATACCGCTAAGCGCAAGGTGAGCTAAACTTTGCAGCCTTTTTGAACCCTCTTCACCCTGACAAGCACCGAGGAACACTGCGCAGGACCGTTTTATCTGGCAGTCACAAACCTTGCAAGATTTTGCCCAAGAACCTGTGCTATTGTCTCTATTCACTCAACTTTAGAAACCAGGGGAAAAAAAAAGTGTCCCACAAAGGTTCTCTGTTGGAATATTTTAAAATAAAATTGTGAAATTTTAGTAAAAGATAATCTTAAGGAATAAGCAATACCATCTATAACATAGCACAGTGTAGCAGGGTTCCTTAATAGATCCTCTCCACCTTTTCATGTAGCTTTAGTCACAAAGAAACTTCTCCTTTAACAGTAGCCATTACAAATCAAATTTATGCTCAGGCAAGAAATCAAGTAAAGGGAAAGGAGGTAAAAGGCAAATCTTTAGCACCTTCATCTTCTCCTGTGATCCCCCAAAACTCCTTTGCATGACCACATGCTCTTCTCCCTTGCTTTTCAGCAATTAGGACTTATATTTATCATTGACTTAAAGCCACCAATTGGTTCTTAAACAAGACCCCTCCTTCTCCCCACCCTGCTCCAGTATAACAAAAACACTGGATTAGAATAAATAGCTATGTGAACAAATTTAAAACATTGCACATTCTTACAGAATGTAAGGAGGGGTACAAAAATGACATGGGCAAAAGATTTGTGAGAAATTCACACTGAAAGATATTAGAAAAAGAAAGATAAATTGTTATGAAAATAAACACTGTTCTCTCTGAAAGGTCAGCATTTCTGATCTCATTTTACATTCTGAAGCCTTACGCAGGGTATGGCCCTTTAGGAACTTTACTTATGTTTTTACGTTACTACTTCAGGGAACATACAAATGAAAAGGAGATAACAGACTAAATAACTGGAAGGTATCTGAGAGCTGCCCTCTGAAGCACAGTTTCAGAGCCGGCCGCACGGCCGGGTGCCCTCCTGTGTCCCAGCTGAAAGCCGTGGTCCATGGTTGCATCTCCTAAACCACTGCCCTGCAGAACGGTGGTTTTGTTGTTGTTGTTGTTGTTGTTTGCATTTCTGTTTTTGAGGAGGATTTGGAGGTTTCTTACATGAGGTATAAGGTCTCTTATATTTAGTATTGATATCTTCAACTTAGAGCATCACACAAGTTTGAGGGACCCTATATTTTGCTTCTGTCAAACCGTCCCTGAGATCTAGCCAATTGAAGATAAAAGTTCACTACCCTTTGACTGAATTTCTATTAGTGTATTGGAAAAAGTGTATTGGAAAAAAAATAAAGCATAGAGAACATCTAGTATTTTCAGATAGAATGGCATACAAGGAGAAGGAGGTGAAATTTGTGTCCCCTCTCTAAATAGAAAAGCTGTTGATAATCAGTAGCAAGAAAAAGGTTAGAATAAACTCTTACACTTAAACATTATTGTTTTAAATGTTGTTAAATATTAATTATTCAGACACTTTTGTTTTGATTACTTTTAGCAAATTTAACTTTGTACATGATGATCATATTTCTATTAGATTTATTAGCATGAGATTCTACCCTGGCAGGACACCTGACAGCATCTTTTACTCATGTACATGTTCCTACTGCAAAGCAATTATATTATTTCAAATATTTTAAAATGTTTTCTATTACTGCCTAACACAACCCCAGGTTGCCTCACAAATCAGTTTTCCTTCATCTCACAGTCTGCCTGCATTAAAATAAGGATAACTATATGTTACCTTTTTTTTTTATAGAAGTCTATAATGATCTAATTTTCAAGTAGACTCACTTGTTTAGCTTCACCTAACTACTGAAATATTGAACACTTCCAAACTTCTAAGTAAATGCATACTTGTAAGACGTGTATTTATTTTTATTATTATTATTGTTGCCAATTCTCTCTCTCCAAATTTATGCCTAAGACAGGACAAACCAGACAAGGAAATAGAAGCGTCAAACCCTTTCTACATTTATATATTAAAACAAACAAAACACGAGACTCAGGCATGACCACAGAACACTCCTCAATGTAGTTCTTTCAAAGAACCTTGCAGTTTCCCCTGAAGCAAGGTATACGCACATAAATGGATGGGTGAATTATCAGCAAACCCTTAAATCCCATCATCATTTCGGCGGTGATTCACAGCCGAACCCGTCAGATTCCAGGGAGCCCGGCAGCTCCGGAACCACAACCTGCAGCCTCCTCTTGGCGCTCGCCGCTTCCCGCAGCGCCCAAGGCTGCCGGTTGCTCACGGGGTGATTCCTGCCCGGAACGCTTTGCACTTGAGCTTTGTGACCTGCAGCAACTTCCGAGCCATTTGCACGGGCAGCTTCGGAGGTTGTTTTGGAACTTTGCAGCCATGAATGGTTTCGATGCAATCGCCCCGGAAAAGTTACAATAGTCACCTTAGAACTGTAGCTCTGCCAGGCTACACAAATGGAGGGTCTAACTTCTTTCAGAGCTTATCTGAGAAGGGGTATTTTACATGTCTGTTCTTTTCTAGCTCTTCTTCCCATCCCCTCCAAAAGCTCTTTCAAAAATGGGGGTAACTGACACTTGGGAGCAAGCAGAAAGCCAGATTTCCAGGGCAAACCCTGATGAGGGAGGAGGTAAGGAGGAGTCTGTGCACGTAGGGCCCAAGACTGTCCAAGTTGCTGGGCAATAGTGACCTGGAAAAAATGTGTATTTCCTAATCAATGCAGCTCACTGCCTGAGGACAAAAGAGCACACACAGCTTTGCTCCCGTTACTCCCATTTGCCCTCACAACCATACACAGAGTTGCTAGAGTTCTTGTTAGATACAATTCAAATGTATTCCAAACAGGCATTATAATACTTAATTTTTTAAAGGCACGGCTAAGGCTTGGACTAACTTTATTCATCAATAAGCTGTTCTACTCTTCCCATAGAAATGAAACATTTTACAGAACTTCATTACAGATTTATAACTTCAGATCATTATTGTTTTATGATTTTAAAATGAGCAACTTAAGACAAAAAGCTCAACATCCTTAAACTTCATTTTCATTCAATCTCTAATAAATACCATCTGCTGTGTACTTTAGGGATATAATACCCGTCAAAAACTCAGCCGTATTATGAGAACCGGCACCAAGTTGATCTGAAATGCATATTTGAACAGATGTGTTTAAATTACATCTCCGTCTATCCACACGCATAAATTCAGAATAAGCGTGTGTTGATTTAAAATGCATAAAAAAGGGATTTGGAGATGCATCAAAAGTGAACAGCATCTCAATGGATCAAGGCTCACATTACTAAAGGTCATTACTAAAAATAAAGTTTGAATTTATTAAGAGTTGCACGAGGGAACTGTTCATGGGAACTGACTTAATGACTGCTGCACTAAAGCAGCCTTTGAAATTACACTGATTTTCTATGACCCTTTGCTGTTTAACATTAGAGCTGTCAGGCATGGTCAGAAATAATCGCATCTCAGTCAGGAGCAGCTGAGAACATTATACACTTTTTCCTCAAATCTGACACAACGCTCATCACCAACCCTATCCGGGGCTCTAAGGACCTATCCACGTCTGCTTCAGTGCCAGCCATTTAGCTCTTCACTCTGACATAGAAATCAGGCACGTAACAGAGAATGATTATTATGTCTTTTTGGCATGATGAAATCAGCTGAAAAAACTGCGAGCAGTTCTCCATTAGCAAATATCAGTAAGAAAACCCCAGTCTTTCTGCGAGTTTTTGTTGTTGTTGTTTACTTGCTTTGCCATAGTCTCTAATGCTTATGATGTTTCAGGGACTCTGAAGGCAAACCAAATGAGACCAAAGGTCCAACTAGACCAAATGATCTCAGCTTTTGCCAGAGAGAGGGTGTTTTTGTACCTAGCAGCCTGTGATGGATTCCTCTTCTATGAACTTGTTTGGTCTCCCCTTGAATCCAAACCCTTCCATACCTTAACTACTTGTAAGAATAGCATTTCTGCTTGATCTGGGCCCGCCATCTGTGAGTTTCAGTTGATGCCCCTAATTCTTACTCTGGGGCAGACAAGTACCAAATAACTCTACTCACCTTCTCACGCTACTCAGGATTTTGCAGACCTCTATTATAGCCCTTTGGCAATAGCTTTTCCAGACCACAGAGTCCTTAATTTCCTTTGTGTGACAGAGCCCTCATACCTCCAATAATGTCTATTAGTCCTTTCTGTAACATTTCCAATTGCAGCATCTCCTTTTTGATGAGGGTGTTGACAACATTGAAAATGCTGACAGAACAGGATCACAAACTCTGAAATTATTTCCAGAATTCCAGAACTAAGGTTAAAGGCTCTGCTTTTTCTTTTTATGAAAAGACATAACTGATTAATATTCCATAACTACAGAAATGTTACACCCCAAATGTCATTACAACACTCTACTTTTTAAGATAGCCAGGTTCTGAAGTTTACTTTGAGAGACAACAGACTGGCAAACATTGCTTACCAGTGTGATTGGCATTAGCATTCAGAGGAGAACTCATTCTACTGTCAGATACAATAGAAAAACAAGCCAGAAATTGCTAGATAGAACAGATTATAACATTTTCTGCTCCACTGAGAAACAAATGACACAGTGAGGTTGCTTTACCTGTTTCATATGCTTCATATGTGGGGTTATCAGTATATCTGCACCTTCTTCAAAATACAGAAACATTTACTTCTTGCTGAAGTATTCAGAATTCAGGAAAACATAACTACCTTTAAGAACAAATGCTTGAAGAACACAAATATGTGACCATCAGAAATATAATGCTGAGCAGAGACTCTGTGAAAAGCAGAGACTCTGTGAAAAGCAGAGACTCTGTGAAAAGCACACTATGCAGCTGACTTCAGCCAAGTATCAAAAGCTGGGAAGCAATAGCTCTCTCCTTATTAAGATTTCCCCTTAAGCTAAGAAGCTGATATCAATGAATAGCTTTCTGCAGAAAGGTATGGGCTGGGCAAAAGTTTGTAACATAAATAAGCTAGAAGAAGACAAAGATGTAACAAAAAGAAGGTTACGTAGGTTTTCACAGAGTGATCAAGGACAGAAATGGAGAGCGGGGGTAGGGAACAGACAAAGAATGCAAAGGAGAAGCAGTGTAACAAGTTGGAAGAGTTTAACAGAGAATTAGGATCTTCAGTTGAAGCAGAACAGAGAACGGACAAAGGCAGAAAGCTGAGAACTACAGCTGCCACTGGGCCAAATATTTTATTCCAAGATTTTGGTTCAAGCCCATTTACATTAAGAACCTCTGCAGCACAGGGAAAGGGAGAATAACAACTCCTGGCAAAGCAGGTATTAAAGCACAGCAGATTTTAAGGGAAACACACGCAGCTCAAGAAAGTTACCCAAAATAGCTGGCAGATTCAGAGTCATAGTTCTTTCACTTCGCAAGCTATGCAAACAATTTGGCTGGATTTTTTTTGCTTTTGCTTTGTGAGAAATCACAACACAAAATGTTTGCCATTTGCAAACAGCTCAATGGGAAAGATCAAGGTTGCGAAGGGAACAACACTTCACAACACATGCATGATACACACTAAATTCAGCATAATCTCCACTCCTTTCTCAAAGCACACAATGAAATCAACAGTCAATTATCCAAAACACATCAGCTTATACCGCATACATTACAAAATAAATTGCTAAAGTTGAATACCAGAACCATTGCTTTGAGACAGAGAGATAAAAATGTAATGCCTGGATAAGCTTTTTAATAGTAATTAATAGTTTCCATGAATGTTAGCCAGAGGAACTTAAAAGACCATTCATGCACAAGTATGGTAACTAAAAAGCACTTCAGTTTTATACCAGCCAGTTCCTGTGGTACATTGATATGCACTCGTAACTGTGAATTTTCGCATACAGTGCTCCACATGAAATGCTAACAGTCTCATTTTCAGAGATATTTTCCTTTTACAAGCACATTACTGCAGACTTAACACCCGTGCCCAGGTAACTTTCAGGGCTAACAGCTGCAAGCAGCAGGCAGAGGACTGGGCAATGTTCCTGCATAGACTTCATGGGATTTAAGGCCTTATACAAGGAAAATCTGACAGATCAAAAAACTTCTACTATTATTTCTCTAATGGTTTTTCTTTGTTAAAAAGCAATAATCTTCAAGAAACTTAGGGGAAAAGATTGTATAGGGAATTACTGGTTCTCTGAGTAGCAGGAAGAGCAGGTCTGAATAATAAATTTGTCAGTTTTAAGAGTAAGTGAAATACTTTGAGTAAAACCACACACATGCATCCACCCCTCTCCCATAAAGATTCAAAGCTCTAATCATACAGAGCTTTTGCTCTCTCTATAGATACATATATATATACATAGTATCTTAATAGTATAAAGTTTTCAGTTTTATTCCATGCTACACAGCCAAGGTGGCAATGCAGTCTTCAACCTTTAGAGCAAAGTGTAACACAAGAACATTGTGATGTGTTCAAAGCTGTATTTAAGTTTGGAATTCAATTTTCAGAGATAATACTGCAGACTCAGAAACAACACTGTTTCCTCATTAAGTCAAAATCCATGAGCTTAACTTGAAGGAAATCTGATGTGCTTTACTAAAGAAAGTGTGGTAAGACACTGTAAATTATGTCCCCAATTAACGCAATGCAATAAAATTTGGATCACTAGGAAACAGAGAATTTACTTTGAAACTATTTTAAGAAACTATGAAGCAAATTTTGCAAAGCAAGTGCATGTAAAAAATCATTAATTTGCATAAATGTAAAATAGAATGATATACTGAAAGAGTTTGGCATAAGTTAATGGGCATCGCTGGAGCACTGTTGTATTTTTTTTAGGAATTTTCAGTGACGACCATTTAGATGGAGCAGGATTAAGCCAGAGAGTGCCTAAGATGAATAAACTCCTAGGCACAAAGATTTTCCTCTATTAGAGCCAATTGAAGACATTCTCTGATCTCCTACTAGTTATTTCTAACTCCTCCTTGGGACAGTGCATTTCATTCTCAGTTACATTCTTTTGTTTGCTGGACTACACTAAAAGATAAAAATGATTCTATATACAAATTCTAGAGGATTCAATGCACTGACATCCATATAAGAAGTAATACTTATTTTTCTCAAAATGGTTGTTGTAAACTAGCTGTAAAAGGTCAATATAGATCTTGAAGTTGTTAATATTATAGTTTTCTTGATGAATTTTGTCTTTAGAGCATCTCTTGAAACAAATGACAGCTGAGAGATTTGTTTTTGCAAGAAAGGCTAAAATACTTCTCTAAAGGAGACAATCAGGGAGGGAAAAGAAGGAGAAAAACAGAAAAGGAAAAAAGAGGAAGGAATCACTTTGCCCATGTAGCATGTGAGGCTTTGGTAGCCATACATGTATGTTGTCATATGCACATTGAAGAAAGGGCGAATCAAGACTGGCTAATGTGAATTAACTCAGATTTTACCTCAAGTCATAACCCGGCATTTGAAATTTCTAGGGAAGCCTCAAGAGTGAGACTGTAGCTGCCAAATGAAGAAGAAAACTGAGTTATCTCGTTGCCACAACGCTTCAAGGCTGTTGGCTAACCCGGGTTTGCCAAATTCATGGCCGAACGTACAGCACGAGCTTTGATCAATATGCCCTTGAGCTAGGAAACCATTGCTTAATTTCATTCTTTACACTAAAACAAAATAAAACATTTTGTTACCAGTGCTTCCACCTTGCAAGTCTCCTGCTACTTCTGAATTCTGCTTTTGGTGCAGGTGCAAAATATCAGTGAATGGGATAGAAGGTATCTTCAGGGCAGTTGTCCTCTCACACAAGCAAGCTGAAGATCTGCCATCGCACTACGTCTTCCCCATTCCCCAAAACAGAAGTGCAATGCTGTTACAGTTTACAGTTTGTAAAAAAGTCTCTGAAGTTTGTTCCTCACTTATGAAATTTAATAGGAATTGATGCAGTCTTTGATGACAACTTGAATGAAAATGAATGGAAAAGAATGCAAAGAGGGAGGTAGACTAGGACACTGATGGGGAGAATTAGAAGTCTATTCCCCAGGTAGGAGCACGTTTTGGTATTGCTTTACACATCTATTCACAAGAAAGCACTGTGGCACCACAAGAACAGTACTTGCAAACTGATAGATTTTGGGAAACAGTTAAGTTTTAAAAAAAACAGTATGCAAAATGAAGCATGTACAAGGCGTTGAAGGCTCCACCTACAGTTGTTCAATCTGAATCATCTTGCCAAATGTTTGGTGCTTTTCTTTGTTGTTGCCACAGCATACATATTATCCAATGTTTGCTGCTGAAACTATAACCTACGTCTCTAACTAAAGAGAAGAGGAAGCTCTTATAGCTGCTGTCTCTCAACCGGCTGCAGTAACAGGGGTCAATGGAATGGCTGAACACGAACCAACCCTCATGTGAAGGGGCTGTGGACCTGGATGAAGGCACAGAGTGCTCCCTCGGCAAGTTTGCTGAGGATATAGAAAGACCTGGGTGTCATAGTGCACGACAAGTTGACCATGAGGCAGCAGTGTGCCCTCGTGGCCAAGAAGGCCAATGGGATCCTGGGGTGCATTAAGAAAAGCGTCTCCAGCAGGTCGAGGGAGGTGATCCTGCCCCTCTACTCGGCCCTGGTGAGGCCGCATCTGGAGTATTGTGTCCAGTTCTGGGCCCCACAGTACAAGAGGAATGTGGAGCTGCTGGAGAGAGTCCAGCGCAGGGCTACAAGGATGATCAGGGGCCTGGAACATCTGCCCTACGAGGAGAGGCTGAGGAAGCTGGGCCTGTTCAGCCTGGAGAAGAGAAGGCTGAACCGGGATCCAAACAGTGTCTATAAGTACCTCAAGGGAGGAACTTATAACCATAAGTACCTCAAGTGAGAGGGTTGGTGCTGGCCTCTTTTCAGTGGTGGCCACCGACGGAATGAGAGGAAACAGTTGGAAACTGAAACACCAAAAGTTTCACAGGAACTAGAGGAAAGATTTCTTAACAGTGAGGGTGACAGAGCACTGGAACAGGCTGCCCAGAGAGGTTGTAGAGTCTCCTTCTCTGGAGATCTTCCAAACCCGCTTGGACGCAGTCCTGTGCCACGTGCTCTAGGTGACCCTGCGTGTGCAGGGGGGTTGGACTAGATGATCTCTAGAGGTCCCTTCCACCCTTAAGCATTCTATTCAAACAAAAACATACACACAAAAATATATACATAGGATACTGATCATCAACCACACTTCAAAACATTGGGAAGAGGAAAAAAGATGATAGTGGAAATCTAGATGGTTAGTTTGTCAGTAATTACAGATACTAGATGAATGGAAAGTTAAAAATATATATAAACTTACGAGAAGTAGTTGCTTCAGGCATGTTTCTACCTATTTTGCTCTGTTGTGCATTTCAGTGAACTGCTTCACTTTAAATGCTTCACTGAGTTACAGATATCTCTAAAAATAGAGTTAATATAGGTAAAAATGTGGTTACATTTCTATACATACAGTATATTTTGTCTTTATCAAAAGTTTAAATAAAACAAAGGACTGTTATAATGTAGAGGCTCAGTGTTTTTTTTTTTTCCTTCTTTTTTTAAAGGGCCTTTCTATGACTTTGGCAGGCTCTATGTAGCTACAACTCTAAAAGCCATTCAAGCAGTAGAGTCTTCTCGCCCAAAGGTGGTCTCCTAAACTGGACAAGCCAGACTGCTTTAGACAAACTTAAGAAGGATGCTGCCCCTCAATCTCAGGTGAGGTAACAGCTGATTGTTTGCTTTCCTATGATAAGCAAAGCCATTCATAAACTCTCAACAGTTTTTAGATGTTTGGAAAAGATAAATCATCGCAGCAACTCAAACAGAAGACAGGAAAGTTGTCACATATTCTGGGCTTATGTGTATCAGATATCATCTGTTAGACAGTGGAACAGACACATTTTAAATGTGTAACCCATATTTTTCAGAAATAATATAAACAGAAGATGACTTTAAAGCTAGCAAATCACCGTGGAGCAATGATCCTTATGCATGATACCAGTAAAGGTTTCCAGGTATGATGAATTCCAATTACTGATTTGACTTGACCAAATCTGTAATCAAAGACCAAAAAAGAGCCAGCATAAAATTTAAAATATACTGTTATCATTGAAGAAAATGGAAGATGGACTTAAAAATATGTTTTATGGAGAATTCAAAGATATGACAGCATTCCGGTTACAGTACTAAAGCTCTCTGGCATGACTAAAATGTTAAAATTGGAATAGATGATGTGTGAATATTATATTTAGGGAATAAATCTTTGAAGGTAAATTTAATATCAATGGAAAGAGACTAATTTCATCACATCTAAAGAGATAGTTGAGAAGAATAACATTTTCTCATAAGAATATATATAATTAGGTAAGAGATACCTGAGGTAAGAGATCACTACCCATTTGAGTTACCATCTGGATTTAAAGCACACAAGTAATATCAGAAGATTGAGGAAAACAGATTGTCTTGTACCTTTAAAAACTGATGGTAAGAGAGGAAGACCTGGTGCATGCAGTCAGAGATCAGGAACAGCATGTCCCAGAATTAGAACATTAGGCATGATATTACTAATGAAAAAGAGATGAGAATCAGCATGCAGTAAGGCAACTGCTCAAAAACTGACAGCAGTCTTATATTAAGGAAAATGATAAAGTTTAGGAAAGTCTCCAAAAATTGATAGGAAGAACAATACTTAGGCATTTCTACACAGAGGATGGAACAGAATTTAAATTTTAGCAAAAGGACATCAGTGAGTACAAACATACCAAACCAGACAGACCAAATGGGTACCAAACATAACTCTTCTGATAAAGGAAAAAATGGAAATCTTTTATTACCAAAAACACAATTGTAGAAACAGGAAGAGATTACTTCGACTGACAGACAGGAATAACAAAAGACATTTCTGAGCTTCTCAACCTTTGCTCACAGAATCATGCCAGAATTTTCAGGAAAAGTGACCTAGAAAAGTGACAGAGTGCATCCCCGGCAAGTTTGCTGAGGATATAAAACTCGGAGGAGCAACTGACACACCAGAGGGCTGTGCTGCGTACAGAAGGACCTTGGCAGGCTGGTGTGTTAGGAGGAGAAGAACCTCATGAAGTTCAGCAAAGGCAAGTGCAGAGCCCTGCACCTAGGCAGGAATGACCGCAGGCACCAGTACAGGCTGGGGTGCAGCTGTAGGAGAAGGAGAAGGAGTTGGGAGTCCTGATGGAGAACAACTTGACCCTGGGCCAGCAACACGACCCCGCGGCCAAGAAGGCCAGTGGCATCCGGGGGTGCATTAGGAGGAGCGTCGCCAGAAGGTGAGAGCAATGATCCATCCCCTCCAGTCATCCCCAGTGAGGCTGCCTCTGGAGTGCTGGGTGCAGCTCCCCAGTACGAGGGAGACATGGAGCTACAAGAGCAAATCCAGAAGAGGGCTGAGATGGTGAAAGGAATGGAGCATCTCTCATAAGAGGAGAGGCTGGGAATGTATTAATTTCCTGTGACCAATATGAACAATAGCTGGAAATCACTCGGGAAAAGGACCTTGGGAATGCAATGCATCTCACATCCTTTCAGCTGATAAGCCATTTTTATGGACAAGCATGGCAGTGAACTCCAAATTATACCGAAGGATGACAAACCCATTCGACCTGTAGATAGATGGAAAAAATGTGCAAAATTTTACAGCAGAGTCATTGCTAATCATTTATTTGGGGAAAAGACCGAAGTTTCCACTATCTACAGCACATCGTAGTGTCCAACAAAGGGATCTTGGTACATCCATGGGCTTGAAGGATCTTAAAACTCCTTAAGATACCATTTCTCATTGCCAAAAAAAAAAAAAATGGGGGTAGGGGCATTCCTCAAGTCTCAGAAACCTGACGGAAAGCTGTATAAGGAAAACACAAGTTCTTGTGCCTTGGGGCTGCTCTTCACCAAAGCCCTCGCGCTGGCGTCCTGTGGAGCTAATGCTGGTGCAAGTAGAATACTCGAGACCTCCATGAGTGATATTGCTGACAGAATAATGCAGGGAGTGTGAAATAACTTTTTGTGACACTATAAATACAAAAGAAAGCAAGAGGCTCTAGTGCAAGCAGAAGTGAAAGAAAAAAACAACTCCTGTTCAAACTCTATGCAAGACACAGGAAGCTCACAGCACATCCCACGTACATGCCACAGGAAAAATGAAATTCTCCAGCTAACACTGTTGCATATCCATAATCATAATTTAAATGCACATTTAGTTAATCAATGAAACATTTTGTGTTCTAAAGTATCAGCTGAGCATCCTCCATGGGGAAAATGTTTATCTGCATTATTACTGAAAACATGAAAAGATTATCTCACTTAATGTGATAATTACTATACTTCATATTAATTCTGTCAAATAAAAGCAAATTTTGTGAAAACATATGCTGAAAGATAGACTTAAACTTCTGCTATTCCTACAATAATGAAAGCCCTCAACATACCTCAAATAACTCTTTTGCATTCTATCAGCAGTATGGCTAAGTAATCCTAGGAAGCCAATAGCATAAAATTGTCATATGACTTATTAATCTGCAGCTCCACAGCACACTTAGGACATCAGGAATCAGGAATGTAAATCTTAATATAATAATCAGCCTAGCCTTATATTAAGTTAAAGCACTTTGAAGGCACAAAACACAGGCACTCAGACATCCACAGGAACCTAAGGAAAATTTTCTTAACAGCGAGGGTGACAGAGCACTGGAACAGGCGGCCCAGAGAGGTTGTGGAGTCTCCTTCTCTGGAGATCTTCCAAACCCGCTTGGATGCAGTCCTGTGCCACGTGCTCTAGGTGACCCTGCGTGTGCAGGGGGGTTGGACTAGATGATCTCTAGAGGTCCCTTCCAACCCTAAGCATCTGTGATTCTATGATTCTCTTTGTGCAGCACTATGGAATATTCTGGCAAGGCATTAACTATTCACGGAAGAGCAAAGTAGTTACAATGAACGGCAAAAAGGACATTTTTGCTACAGAAAAGACATGTGCTACATCATACATTCAGAGTGATCAGGAAAGGAAACAATTCAGTTAATAAGGGTCAAAATGCATCATCTGCTATAACATTTTTTTGTCTACTATGTCCATTGGATTTTGATTTAAGCCACATATGTTCTATTCACTACAGATAACATTTTCCATACATCCATATTTCATATATTTATCATGAATATACACAAAAAGCAGTTTGAGCACTGCTTCATTTTGAATAATTTTAATGCTTGTAGCTCTCATTTTTTTTTCTTACTGATGTAGAGTGACCCCACATCAAGTTACAAACCCAATGTAATATTCAGAAAAGCTGATACAACACTAACCAACTGGCAGGTAGGAAGCTATTCCCCTTTTCTGAGCAGATGGGCTGAATCAGACAGGCCCTGAATGGAATCACAGTCCTGTTGCAGTATCAGCTTGTATTCAGATTTAGGTCTGTCCAGCTTTTTAATACAGAGAAAAGATAGGGAAAATTAAACAGTAGAGCTTTAATTATGGTCTTTTTAGGTGGCACGTGCTGAGAAGGTTTATTATAAAGTCACCTGTAAAAGATAAATAAGTAGTTATATTTCAGCAAAATGTTTCAAAGTAACTAGCACAATGATTTTGAAAAAGTACGAATAAAATCTCATACTAATTTTATGTAAAAGCTTAACAAGAATTTGATGGTCATTTACCGTCATAAAGAGGTAAAGGAAATAATGCAAACAAGTGGCAGTTGGTTTTCAGTTTTTCTTTCATCTTAAATTTTTGCTGCAGGGCAATCATCCTCCAGGGGAAGCAATTGCTACCTGCTAATTTCTAATTAATGCAAAGTGTCCAGGGATCACAGGCATACACCCATGGGAGAATACAAGGTTAAAATTACCTTCTGCTATGAGAGACACAGAGTTCCTCTCAGTAACGACAGTCTCCCAGGTTGTCACTCTACACACACACACACAACTACGCAAACCCTGAGATAAAGGCTAAGGGTATCAGCACACACTGCTATGCATTAAAACACATAAAGAAGTCTGCGAAAAAAAAGAAGGGGAGAAAAAAATTAAGTTAGTTTTCTTGTTCTGTGTCATGCGGGATGATCGAGGTGGGGATGACTCATTAAGGTATCTGCCTCCAACTACACCAAGCAGTCAGTGCTGTAATAGCACTCTGCTCCACAACAGAGTGCAACGCAGACTGAGGCTAGAACATGTCTGCTCTTGTTTGAAAGACACCGAAAACCACTTTGGGTGGCAGGTCTCTTTCAGACATTTAATTATACCCTAGCACCTCAACTATCTTTTAACGTTCTCTTACAGGAGCTTATGGATTGAACTTTTAAGATCAGATTTCCAAAGCACATTCCCTTTCTAGTCTTAGAAGGGCTTTGGGTATAGTTAATATGACTGCAGTGCTTGAATTAATAGGTGTTGGCCACAGACAATATTTAAATAACATTAAAGGAATCTGTAATATTGCATACATGTAAGTCTAGGCTGAAGGAAGTCTCAAAATCATGCCCATAATTTAGATTAGTTTCTTAGTCTACAACCTTTGTTTATGAATCACAGGAAACACACTTCTACTCACATTTTTTACAGGTTAAAGAAAACTTCTCTCTCACAATATTTAAATTATACTTCACTGCTTCAACCAAAATATGAACCAAAATGTTCATTTTATACACTACAGCATGTGAAAAAAAATTAAGGTATATCTATCACACTAAATTCAGCTGCAGACAATACGCATTTTCCACGCTGATTTGGTGTACTTAAATCACAATTTTCCTTTGCTTGTGTTCTCTCACCTATTCTAATTCTCACACAAGATCATCACAAACTACTGTGGAAATAAGCGTCAGGCTCAGGTTTGTACGGAGAGCCCAGGAGCTGGGACAAGGCTGTGGCACAACCCCCAGCCATGGTTCTTAACCAAGTGTAAAGGACACTGAGCTCCACAGCGCTTACACATTAGCACTACAAGACACATTTAAAGAAAGATATTAGATAGGTAAGGAACTGGGAGGGAAGCAGAGATTAAAAGGAGACAACATAGAAGCTGCATTTGCTTGATGTGGTTTTGGAACAATAAACATTTTAAAATATCATACAATTAAAAAGAGCCATTTTTGTTTCCTTTCTTTAACAACTGTTATGACTTTAGAGATACAGCTCTAAGAAATAATGACAAAAGAAAGCCAGAAACTCCAGGAGGTACATCCTTCCACAGCAACGGCCCGCTTGCATCCTTAAACGCTATAAGTAACAGCCAAGGAAAGCCTGGGTTTTTATTTTCCTTCAAAGCATTTTCCTTCAATCCCAAAGTTACCCTGGGAATTGGATGTGTACTACTTATTCCCACAGTTAACTTCTACAATTCCTGGGTTTTGCTGATAGATATTTTATCCAGATTTTAGAAGAAATGGAGACACTTTGGCTTTATAGTCTCCTATGTCTAGTGCTTGGACTCTGTGACTTAACTCTCCAGCTTGAAATTCATCAGAACTACAAGTTCCTACAAAGTAGATTAAAACAAGTTTACATTTCTTCTTGAATCTTTACATAGCACCACATTTGCATAACCTTCATGTTATAATGTCACTTAGTGGCTGTATTTCGGCAATTTCTTCCCCCAAGCAAAAGGAGGGTTCGAGGCCATGAAGAGAAGCAAAATAAAGACAAATGAAAGAACTTCAAATGCAAGTGAGATTCAGCTGTGGATAACACAACTTCAGCTGATGCAGCCACTGCTCCTTTGCACAAGCCTTTGCCCACACACACAAAAGAACGTGGGTTTTGTTGTTATTGTGCAATCTAACAAACAAGTCTATTACCATAAATTTCACTCTCATTACATACAGAAGAAATCACCAACTCATGAGTAGCAGAAACAATTTAAACAATTTACAGACCAATGTATGACTCATACGAGTGCAAAACGGAGCTTCCCCTAAGTAATCTGTAGTAGGGTTAATCTACATAGGAGGCTTGCTTAGCAGAAAAATCATTGTCCCACAACAATGGGGGTTTAAATTGTATAGTTGCCTTCCAAATGAGGTATAACAACTTTTGTACATTTACACATCCAAGCTTTTAGTTTTCTCGACTCTAGAATTTAGGGTTCAAGAAAATAACCTTTTAATGTTGAGCTCTAGAAATTTTTAATTATTTTAATC